CTCTCCCTCCCTCTCCTTCCCTCTCTCCGACTTGTACAGACACGGTTTGCAGAGTTTTGGGTGGGGAATGTTCAGGTATGCGTTTGCACACACACACACACATAATCTGCCTGTGTGCTGCTGGTTGTAGCAGACTAGGGAACAATGAGTCTCAAAAAGAGACTTTCCTTCAAGAAGACCTGGAACTTCAGCACTGTAAGTAAACTGTGGTTTGCCGAGCGAGCCTCCTCTTCCTCCGCTGTGTGAAGCGGGGAGACTCCTTTTGTTCAGTCAGCTGTTTTTCTCATTAATCTCCCTCTTTGTCGCTCGTCTCTCTCCCATTTAGAACAGCTGTCTGAAGCGGCAGGGACTCGTGGTTGTTTGTTTGCGGTGCTAGAATCAGCCTTGACTTGTGTAAAAGTTTAGAAGAAGCTTTTCTTTTTGTCTGACTGTGGTAAAAGTGTTGAACGGGGGACATTTCAACAGAGTCTTTGTAGAAGCAACACGCCTAAACAAGCTCAAAGATTAAAAGAAGTCACTTTTAAAAGATGTGAAGTGCACTCTGAGAGGTGTTACCGGGTGACATTAACATTTGTGTGAGTGATTCCAACCGATTTAACACCGATGAAAGTGTGTTTTTGTCGCGGTGGCTCACTTCAGATCATACACATGAATCTGTCTAAGTGTGATCATCTACGTTCCTTCAGCATGTGGTGTCTCAGGATGCCAGACTGTACGGCGTGGGGGCTGTACCACAGTAAAGCTGGAAGAGCGGTTTCCAACTGCAGAGCCAAATCCTGCTCTACGTTTGGAGCCAGGGTACTCGCTGTGACTTGAATTGTGGTTTTGTCCATTTGGTTGATAACAACCTAACGTGGACAGCTTTCAGAGGAGTTCCAGCAGGGAAATGGGATCCCTGCAATTCAGCCTCATATGAAAAGGATCAAAGAGGGCCCGTTGGACTGCAGGGCCACCCATGATGGACCGACTCGTCACCAGAGGTGTCAGCAGTGGAAGGGAGTGTGTGGACAAGAGGTGACGGTGTGCCTGGGTCATCACGTCATTCTCATTGTAGTGGAGCTGAGGGCAAGGAAGCAATAACGAGTTGAGAAACACACGGAGGAATGTGGGCTCTAACCCCTGCTGCCTCACACATACATACAAACATACACACACAACCCTCTGTATATCTGCCAGCTCTGCCTGCTCAACTTCCTTAATGACGTGTGTTAATTCTGTTATTTTAAATGGATAGTCAATAAAATGATTTGTTTAACTTGTATACAGATTATTAACCAACCTTTTTAAAAAATAATAATTTTAATATTTATTAATAACAGACCAAGCAAACATTTGTTGTTTGTTGCTTCCAGCCACCCAAATGTGAGGAGTTGCTACTTTTTCTCAGTTTTATATCATTAAAAACTGAATATCTTTGGGTTTTAGACCATTGGTTCGACAATATAAGCCGTTTGAACGGGTCGTCTTGGACTCTGGGAACTTGAAAGTCAATTTTCTGTCCCTTTATAGCACAGATAATTCATCTGTTATTTGATCAAATCAATCAATACCAACATTTGATAGAGCAAGAAGAATTTGATTTCAATCTAATAAATGATGCTGTTGCAGTTAGTTTTAGGATTTTTCAACATTTCCATTCATTCAAACGTTTTAGCCTTCTTACGCAACTTATGACACATTTGTCACCAACATTATTCTCCTCTGACACAAGCATGGTTTAAAGCAGGTGTTACCTCAACTGTGTGTGTGTCAAGATGACATTCATGATTTCAATTCACTCCCACTCTTATCACATGTCATAAGTGGATGTCTATCATATGTGTCACCAGAAGTCAAATCTCTCCATATAAAGATTTTGAAAGTAGTATTGACTCTTAAAGTATGGATTGAATAGCAGCGAATGCGATTAGTTTCAGCCTGGAGACCTTTTGTTTGTTCCAAAACCGACATTGACGTCACATTGTGTGATGTCTGTCTTGTTCTTTTAAGTGAACCACAGTCACAACACTGTATATATTTAAGGTTTGAGGTTTAGCTGCTTTTAGACCCAAAAGGACAGACAGATGGAGTGGATGTCCCTTTTCTCTCTCTCTCTCTTCTGTTTCGGCTTCATGTTGGTCCTCATTGTACCCACCCATGATTACTGTACACATGCTAACCGCCACAGAAGGGATGGCTTTTGGGTGTTGACTGTATGGGGTTAGACTCTGCAGCAGCAGAGTTGTAAAGAGGCTGTGACAGACAATTAGTGGTTTAGCGGTCTCTGTCTGATAGAGCTTTTACATGTGGTCACTCCCGAAATGGAACGAAAACGTCACATTAGCGCACATGGCCGCGGGTTACGTCCCCCTGCCTTCAGACGACCAGTCACATCAACGGAAACTAAAAAGAGTAAGCCGGTCTGCAACATGTCTGGGCTTGTTCTACGGCTAATTGATCAAGCTGAAAGCTATTAATTAAATCACAGCTGGAAGTCAATGTAGAAATTATACTATGAATGAAATCAGACAAGCTTATAGTTTAATTTTCCTATGTTTCACTTTCAAATATAGCCTCATCCAGGTACATTATCTCTGTTAATTTCATTGTTTTACTGTCCATTATTATGCAATTTTCTCTAAAGCACAAACTGTATTTACTGCTCACACCGAGCCACCAGCCTGGCAATAAGAGCCTTGTTTAGACGTATTATCAGCCTTGAATATTCACACTTTGAAGTGGCAGCTCAGAAAACACTCTTCTGGAAATAGTCTCCCCTTTTCAGATGAATCCTCCAACGCACCGATTTTTTTCTGAGTGTTCTTGGACCGAGCCCGAAGATGCGCCTCTCATATCCTCCCCTGCATTTTAATATATTTGCGACAACAGCCTCATAGTTTGGGATTCAAATCTCTCTTTATTAGCCTAACCAAAATTACGCTGACAGGGTTCGCAGAGGCCCAATGCCGAGCCAGTGATTTCAAGTTCAAGTATTGCCAAGTAAATATTTGTTGATCCATCATAAAATCAGTCATGTGTGGTGTTTCATTTAGCATTACTCCTTGGCTATAATTGCACCCAATTATGGAAAGTTGTCACTGTGAAATTTCCATGCCCACTAGAGGCTGTTTGCCTTTCATTCAAGGGCATCAACACACGCATAAACCACTCATTCCTTAAATCAGCAAGTGAATAGAGGAGCATTACGGCCACTGACGGCCTCTCAAGTCGCTCTGCCTTGATGAGCTCTGATCTTTGTGACTGCAGTCAGCAGGAATGCACACATTCAGGGCTGTGAGGAGGATCATATAAAATGAGGGGTGGGTCCTGCTGTGGAGGTGTGAACAGCTGTGTGTGGTAGAGGCCAGGGGTCCACCCACTTAAAAGTTAATGGTGTTGTGCAAGGACCCGGAGATCCAGCCCTTTCCCACTAGCACAGACACACACAAACACTCACACCCTCACTTACAAACCACAAAGACACACACCTCAGAGCGACGGGTGGGATGCCTGAAGAGACACTGCTATCAGCGCCGGCTTCAGTCTCTTGTCTCAGCACAGGAGGTCATGAGGGCAGCCTCTCACTCATGTCTCTCTTTGTTCTCTTTCAGTCTGCTGCTTCCTCAGATGGCGGTGAGTACAATTCCTTTATTACTACTTTAAAAACACTATTCTCTGAAAGCTAAACAGGATCATTTGATATAAAGGTGTAAAGGAGTTCCAGCTCTGTAGAGGGTACTTAAAAGCTGTTAAAACTGAATTAAATCGCAAGATTTTTCTTAATGATCCCCCCCCTCCCCCCGTTCTTTTTTTTTTACTAACATTTACTCAAATGTTTCAATCTTGGCCAGCCTGCAGTGTTTCTGCCCAGCCTTTTTAGTGTCTGCAATTTTTATTTCTCATTTTCTGCTCTATACTCGACACAGAACTTTGTTGCTGCTCAATAAAATGGTCTAATAAAAAGACTTAGCTGGGATGATGTATTCACTGTAGGCAGCATGCCTCATTAACAAAGGATGTTTGTTGAGCGTGTTTTTGGGTTACAGTCGGGGGCTAGCGTGCACGTTTGTCTGGTCTCCTCTTTCATAGGAGTTTTAACAACATTTGCTAACAGGCTGCGGTGAGGAGTGCAGCTCCGCTCCTTTCACTGTGGATGCAGATCAGACATGCGCGGCTGTTTGCTTTCTAAAACCATCTCATTAACCGAGCAGCACACAATGTGGTGAACACGGATCCCAAAAGCCTCAGCCCTAATACATTAAACCAAGTCCAAACAAGTGGCTTGTCAGCGAACTTTAGACAGCGACACAGAGAAACCAGTCGTTTGGCCTTATTGTATAAGCATAAAATCCCACAGTTTCTCAGATCGCCATACTGAACATAAAGGCTATGCATTTTTAATGACAAGCCTGCTGGTTCAGTGGCGCTAATTGCTAAGTAACTAGGACATACATTCGGTTTCAAAAGGTCATGTAAAGGCCGCCTTATCACAATATGAAAGATCTCACTGTGAGACTGTTAGTGATGTCATGTACTATTTACAGTGCTTTCATTTCACAACCTCACAGTTGAACCTATTTGTAAATCCACACCACTTCTTGTGCAGCTGTATCAGCAAGGTGAAGATATGCTGTACCGTACCTGATCCAGCTAACATTTCTGTTCCCAACAGCAGAGATACACTCTGTTAAAACCAGTTGCCCATGCCAACCAGTTGAATCTCCACAGACTGACAACGGCCCACTGTGACCCTTTTGTTTTCCTTTGTTTTTACTGTGTGTTCGCTGCCTTGCCGGCCCGCAGTTCTAAAGTGGCCATCTGCTGCCACGATAGCAGGTACTGTGCAGGCAGAGGCCCCCCACTTCAGTTCCTGGATCCTTACCCACTCTCTCTCTTTGTGTCCCTTTAATCATCCATGTCTCCTTTCTTTCTCCTTTTATCCTGCTCCCTCTTCTTGCCGCCCCCTCTTTGCTCCTCTTCTGCTAACCGAGTGACGTCTGCTCTTTCTCAGATGCAATCAGATCTGTAGATCTGGTCCACACTTCCCTCACAATGCATTTTGAACTTTGACATTCACTTATTGTGCAGCATTTGCCGGTGAGAGGTGTAGCAAAGGGTGCAATAAAGAGCCAGAACCTTTCTTTTCAACCCCCTTGACCTTTACCTTGTAGTCTAATCCATTTTCTGTTTTTTAATTATGTTGGGTGCAGTAATAGGGCACCTTTTGGCTTTGTCTAGTCCCCCCTCTTTAAACTCCAACAGGATCAAGGCTTTTATTAAACTGCTGGCAAATAATTTTTCTCCCTTTTCTTGCAGTTTCCCTAAGATTAACATGTAATCTTACGGAAAATGAAAAGATTGTAGTGACAGTTTTAGGTTGACTAAGTAGTTGATATTAGTTAAATTAACACTAGAACCATAACCTAATATTGTTCCAATGTTAGAAATGTGCTGTCTATTGTTTTGACTGCTTCTTCTTAGATGAAGGTCTAGAAAAGTCTTGTGTGTCCTTAAATCGATTTAATTACAGCACAGTTATTCAAGCTTGCTAACAAGTTGAGTGAAGATGAAGATTGCCAGAAGAAAAAAAATGCTAAAATCCAGAGGAATATTTAGAAAGTTGATAAGGGCACACAGGAAAACTGCTCTAACACTCCCTCTGGCTGGAATTACCCTTTAACATTAAAGCCCTCCAACCTTTGCGTTCCGCTCTCCCGTCTTGCAGACTACAGTGGGGTCCAGTTGCAGGGATGCTGCAGCCAGAGCAGCCTGAACAGTAATGGCAGTCTTCCAGGAGCGGGCAGCCATCGAGGGGGTCCGGAGCAGCGCGTGGCCAGCTGGGCCGCCTGCTTCGAGCGGCTCCTCCAGGATCCAGTGGGTGTGCGCTACTTCTCGGTAAGAGTTTGTCACATCGATGGAATTGTGCCATACTTTGCCAAACCTCTTACAAATAACAAACGATGTGACGTGCCCTGGTGCTTCCACGTTCTCTGTATTGTTACACTTGTTTTTACTTGTGCTCCTCTGTTAGTGGACAATTATTGCAGCAATTAGGGGCATAAAACGGCTTCATTCTTATACACTGCTACAATTAATGTTTTGCCACGTTAGACCACCTTCCTTCAAGCGTTAACATATTTATACGATGTGGGATAGGTTCGAGTTCAGAACCGGTTCTCAATGTCAAACCTTAGTGAGTACAGGCATCTCATTTATCTTACTGTACCTCCCACATAAAAGATGTGCCTTTGAATTTAGCCCACAACACGTTCAGAAGGCTCAAACATTAAGTCCTGGCGTCCCAGAACCACCTCGCTCCTCACCTTCCCTCAACACTGATCAGAGCTGCACTCGCCTACACTATCCTGCGCCTACACTTACACCAATCTTGTTCACAACATTACACCCAATAATTTCTTCCCTCACTACTGGTCGCAGCAACAACAATAACAGCACAGGGAAGAGGAGAAAGAGGAAATCTAGTTTGAGATTGTAACTTTTTCTGTCTCCACAGGAATTTCTCAAGAAAGAATTCAGTGAGGAGAATATCTTGTTCTGGCAGGCCTGTGAATGCTTCAGTCATGTCCCTGCAACAGATAAGAAGCAGGTAAGTTCACACTATGAAGCCACAGATGCAGTCAGAACTTTTGTATGTATTGTATACTGTGGTCCACTGTGAGTTGGCAGATCATTGCCTAAATGGGGAAAATAAGTAAAGAAAAAGATCATGTGTGATGTGTGCAACTGACATGGGTAAATTACCAGCGTTACTCAAAGTCAACTTCATTTTACAAAGTTCACTCACCTCCAAGTCCTCTGTAGGCTACACGTTTCCCCATCCGGGATCTCAACCAAACTGTACTACTTATCCTTTTCAATGCAAATTGCACTGCACATAAAGGACAGATTTGGCAGGTTTTCCTTTCTCAAATTATTTACCTATGAATTATTCTTACATTACATTTTGTGTAGAAGAATTGAGACCTTCCTCCCAACCTCCCGACCCACAAATGGGTTTATACAGATTAAATGACATCTTAGTGCCCATATAACAGTCGTGCAAAATATATTGATGAAAGAGTAAATAAGAAGACATGTAGAGATGCAATTTTCTACAGTTTTTAATATTCTGCGCCATCAAACCTCTTTTTGCAGCTGTCCCAGAGAGCTGGAGAGATCTACAACAGCTTCCTGTCCAGCAAGGCCACCATGCCAGTGAACATCGACAGCCAAGCCCAGCTGGCCGATGATGTCCTCACCTCCCCGCGGCCCGACATGTTCAAGACGCAGCAGCTACAGGTACTAACAACACAGCAGCGCTGATATCGAGCTTATAATAGAGCTCATGTCTTTGGACACGGCAGTCTGTTGGTTGACTATAATTAGAAGCCTCCACGATTATTTAAATATTTCATGTTTGGTTAATTTTTCTTATTTTAATTATTCACATGTCCCTTGCCAATTTTTTCTGGAGATTCTTATTAGTCGGAGGGATTCTGTGTGCAGTAGTGGGGCTTTGCTCTCATCTAGCCTTTAGTCACTTTGCACAAGCATATTGGTTTTTTTTTTAGTGGCCATCTGGGTTTGTTTACAAAAGGGCTCTGAGCCTTCACTAGAGAGATAAACACAAACTGGCATACACCCACAGAGAATCTAGCGCATACTGTACACATAGACATGCAGTCAGAGATGTGTATATTTTCATCCTGCACGTGATAAAATGTTAACTGTTAAGACACCTGTCATAACATAAGCTGTAACCATATGTTAAACTAGTAGTTTCTTCTCTCTTGTTTCTGTGTACGTTTCATTTTCTCTTTCTCACTCCTTTATTTTTGACCCTACATGCCTCTTTGTGTACCTCTTCCTTCAAAAACCCCTTGTTGTTCTGTCTTCCGCTGTTTGTTTACTCACAAACACCGCTCTTTTTTCCCTCCACGTCTACAGATCTTCAACCTGATGAAGTTTGACAGTTATTCGAGATTCCTCAAGTCCTCACTTTACCAAGAGTGTGTGCGAGCTGAGGAGGACGGACAACCCTTGCCGGACCCCTACCAGATTCCCTGCAGTCCTGCGCCCTCGAAACACAGCGCCAGCTCTGACCGCTCTACCCTTTCCACTCCGAAAAAGGTGCCGCTGTTGCTTTATGACTGCACCAAAAAGAGCTTTTTATTGAAATGTGACATTGACATCGTTCATCAGCGAAGTACGGCTGGTAAAATCTTTGTTTTTGCTCTCCAACCAACAGGAGGCCAGAAAGCATAGGTCGGGGAGGTCACTGAACGAAGACAGCAAAGACGAGAGCGCCGACAAGAAACGCAGCATCTTCTTCTCGTGGTCCCGCAACAGGAGCTTCGGCAAGGGCCCAAAGAAGAAGGACATTGGAGACATTAACCTCGGTAAGAAATCCATTAGCAACCCTGTTGCCTTCTGGTGACTGAGTTCCCCCGTTGTTTAAAACTTTTGCAACACACAAATTTCCAAAGTGCTGATGTGTCCTTGAACAAGACACCAAATCGCTGCCAGTTCCAGAGTTAGCATGAGCTAACAGGCGGGGGAGGCATGTAGAAACACAGCTGCCCCGCAGTGATCAAAGTATTACACACACACACTACTGGTACACTGGCAAAAACATAGTTGTTGCAACTCAGGGATTTTGGCACACTAAAGAGAGTATTGTTCACATAGAGTCAGTGTTTTAAAGGTGGGAAAATATCTAAATGTGGTCCTGTGAAACTATATGATTATTATAATATGATAATAGAGCTTGCATTTTGTCTTATTTTAAAGGCTACAATTGACCAAATGTCATTTTTAGACTAAGCTTAGTTAAATACATTAGTAATGATAATTCATAATTTTTTGTGTTTGTAAATATCCTCTGAACGCACAAGTAGTAATACAAGTATATAAAATATTGTTTATATAACAGATAAACAATAAACACATAAAACAAATACAATTTGGCATAGTTATTAATCATTATAAGTTGAACCTAATAGTGCGTTTCAAACTGGTGCTTTTTCATAGATCTCTCTAACTGACTGTAGCTTTACTTAAATTTAATACAGCACCTATTGTTTATTTACAAATATCTTGTTTGATGGCATACACCTTCTCGCCTGCCAAGATTTTGTGACAAAAAACTACAACCATAAATCAAAAACAATTGTTATTAGTCATGTTACAGCTTAACAGTCTCTGTGTCGCATATTTTAAGTGTCATTTAATGTGAGTAGTGTGCAAATGTCTCTTATCTGCATGAATTCAACATCCTCTGTGCTGTTTTTTTGCAGACTACTGGGGCAGTAATGGGCGGAGGGAGTCCCAGGGCTCCTTGTCGTCCGGTACCAGTCTGGAGATGGCCACTTCCTGCTCTGCTGGCAAGATTGAGGTAAGATTCCTTTGGACGAATCACCATGGCAACACAGAGCCCAGTGTCTAGTGAAGCTATCATAATAGGCCGGAGTTGTTTATTTTTTATTTATTTTTTACTTGTCAGCCCACTCATTTTTTGTTTGTGGACGCCAAACGTAGCTACAGTTACAACTGAATCTATGTGTACATCACACTGGAAAGCCATAACCCACTTCCTCTTGTTAAATTAAGCTCTTTTTTAATCATGTTTCCGTAGTCTGATAATCGCCACTCAGTCGGAGTATGGGAACGCTCCCCCAAACACTGCAACGTGATGCTCCCCGACGGTTCCTGCTCTTCTGTTACTCTCCGGCCCAGTGCATCCATAAGGGAAGTCCTCCAAGATCTCTGTCACAGCATCAACGTCAACATCGCTGCTGTCGACCTCTTCCTGGTGGGAGGGGAGAAGGTGAGGGAGGCAGTCACTGCCAACAAATTTACTGACAAATGAACAGAACACCTGCTGCTGATACACCAGAGAGCAGAACACTGCTGCAAGCACCTCTTGAATGAATTGAGTCAACCCTCTGTTTATTATGAATCTAACTTTGGTCAATACAGCACGACTACACTGACCATTTAAACATGCTCATTTTGTGAAGAGTCATTGTTGGAAGTTGAATGAAAAAAGCTGAATTCAACCAAAGCGAATTGAAAAGATTACAGAGGACTAAAGTGGAGAATGTGTCTTTTTAGTTGCTGTATAAGGGTGCTACAGTATGTGGTGTTTTGGGGGCTTTATGTGTTGCTAATGTGTTGTTTCATGCTTTTTTCCCCATAGCCTTTGGTGTTGGACCAAGACTGCATGACCCTCTGCTCACGAGACTTGAGACTGGAGAAGCGGACCTTGTTTAGGTATGAACGATCGATCGTTGTCAGTTTCCCATGAATATCACATTTTCTGTCCATGCTGACATTTGCCTGTGCTCTTCCTCTGCTCCTAGATTGGACCTGGTTCCCATTAACCGCTCTGTGGGGCTGAAAGCCAAACCTACCAAACCAGTCACTGAGGTCCTGCGCCCCGTGGTGGCCAAATATGGTCTCCACCTCAGCGACCTTGTGGCCAAAATAGTAAGTTGTCCCTGGTAGCTACAATGGCCTTAATCTTTTTGAAGCTCCTGTGTGTCCGGAAAGGAAGCCCGTGCAGTGTGTGACAATGCCACAGGGTGGAGTATCATGGTTAGGGGAGGGAAGCCGCATCCTTTTCCATCTCTACACAGTGGTTAGCGCTCTGACTCAGTCCAGCCTCCGAAGATGGAGCACCAGGGCTATAATTAAAAATGACGACAGTCCTCAAACATGCCGACTCGTTACTCCTCCCCTAAACCCCTGCCAGATGATTTATTTTAGTCCCGCGGGCTTCTAGGCATTATAACTGTATTATACAGTAGGCCAGAGCTTAAAGATGGTTTATAAGTTAAGGAAAGGCCTGTGGACAGCAATATCCCGGAGAGAGAAATTGTATTTCAACAGGGGAAGATGGTAACATGTCGAACATATATTTGTGTGTCGTGTTAGAGCGGAGAAACTGAGCCTTTGGACCTGGGTGCCCCCATATCGAGTTTGGACGGCCTGCGAGTTGTGTTGGAACGAGCAGACCCAGCTTCAAACAAAGGTAAAACACTTGAACACAATATATAAACCACTAATAATTACAAACTGACCAAAAATAAGAACAATACGTTGTTTTTACCACCTTTCCTTACACTAGTTTCCAAAAACATATCTGTCAAATAATGTCCACCTCCTGTATTCCACTGATTAACATATTTATAAGTTTTACAGCACTTATGTCTAAAGTGCCCCCCCCCCCTCTCCCCTTATCCATTTACTTCATTTCTCAACCTGATGAATATTTCATGTGCATCACTCTCTTTCTCTCTTTCAAACAGACAAATCAAAGTCTTCCTCCTTAAAAGGCCACCCTCCAACCAGGAGCTTTTCTGCCACAGTAAGTACTTCGACGCCGGCTTTATTTTGCGCATCGTGTCGCCTAAAAGTCCAGACGTGGTGTTTTGTGCTTTTCTATTGCTGTGCTGCTTCTGCGCCATTCGATATGATTTAATAGTGGCCCACATGAATCTTTATTAACATTTTCTAGCCTTGACAAGCTTTAAATTGGTGTGTATTTCCTGATTTTTTTTTTTTTTTTTGGTATTCCTTGCCCTAACACTGCTTGTGCTGACTCACTCGCTCATGTTTCTCCATGCTTCATTATTGCACCATATGTAGGCAGATAGCACTTGGTTGAGATACTAGCAAGGTCAGAAAAGACACAGAGCCAGCAGATGGACCAGGCTCATCTTTACATGCGGGTCCTCAGTAAATATGGACACTCTGCTCAGTTGGATGCTTGGCAGTTCATGCTTAGCCTCCCCCATACGACTCCCATCCTCCCCTCCCCTCCTCCCCCATCCCTCCATCTCCTAACAGAGTGCATTGTTATTGTTGCATCTGCAGGGAGATGAGAGGTCAACACCAAAGGACTTTTCTGTGAGAGCAAGTGGACCAGACTCAGCACTCCCAGGGGAAAAGAGAAAACAGAAAAAGATTAATATAGATGAAGCTGAAGGTAAATCCCCCTTTTCTTTTCTTTTATTGACTTGTTGGTGGATTTCTTAGCTTCGCTTTGCCTCAGGACTAACTGCTATCTTGGGCAGCTCTGGAGGGTTATTTTCTCTGTCAGGTGTGAGGACGCTCTGCTGCATGTTAAACCCAACTCAATCCTTTCTTCCAGGTGCTCACCTATTTGGAAAGTTTAATGAGGGAACTTGTTTGATGTGTTTTCCAGAATTCTTTGAGCTGCTGAGCCGGGCACAGAGCACCCGAGCCAACGACCAGCGCGGACTCCTGAACAAAGACGATCTGGTGCTTCCCGACTTCCTGCGCCTGACTCCACCCGGCCTGGCCTGCTCCACTCCTGACTCCCTGAAACCGACCCGGGAGAACGGCATCTCCTCACGGGGGGCCCTTACTTCCAGCCTTCGCTCAGAGAGCCTGGACTCCTCCCTTAGCTCCAGTGCAAATGGACACTCCGGGACCAGGCGGTGCCTGTTGCCCCCTCCTCGCCACCCGACATTTGGCACCCACCTGTCCCCCATCTCCCGGCCCTCAGACACCCGGCCAAGCCTTCGCACTGTTGAGGAGGACGTCCACACTGACCTCACCCTCGTGGGGGAAGGCGACATCAGCAGCCCCAACAGCACCCTGCTGCCTCCAACGCCGTCCCCCATGCTGTCCTTTGAGAAAAGCCTGCCTGAAGCCAACTTCACCCCGCCGCCACCCTGCTCCAAGTCTAAAGACGCAGGTGGAGAGGGAAAGTCCAGTTCAGGTATTTCTACAGTGTAACAAACCAGTGCTCCGTGTGTCTGCGTGTGTGTCGTATGTGCATGTGTGCGCTCTCTCCCCAGTGGTCTGAACCCGACCACCTTCATGATCAAACTCCCTCTACACTGACTCTGATGCACTTTAATGACAAATTGATTTTGACTCTTTCTCAGTTTGCCAATCATTTTCAACTGATTTGTTTTATTAAACTTAGAAAAACATGTAAATGTAAATAGTGATGTGTATATTTTGTTCAGTGAGTAAAGTTTACTTGTTCACTTCCCACGCCACAAATTGTTGGGTTATGACTGGGATTTGTTTATTCCAGTGAAATATTTAGTTTATTTTGTAGTTTTGGGTGCATGAGAATGCTGATGTAACTGATTGCAGAGCTTATGAAAATTATTAATATATGCATAATGCATACGGATTAACGATCAATATTTGACAGTACTGTAGCCAGTGAATGTTGTACTGAAAATGATAATTCAGAACAACTCAACAATTGAAAGTGACCAGATTAGCAGCTGTGTTTCCTGCTAATAATGGGTTCATTATGTACAATTAGAAAACATCGTAGCAAACCAGACCCCTGAAAATTGTTCTACAGTGTCGGCTCTGCGAATGCTCAACAGTCATCACAAAACAAATGCTGTATTCCTCTCCATCCCACCACCTTTAGTCAAGAGCAGTTCAACAATGTCAATGTCAAAAGGCTGGGGTTTGTTTTTTTTCTTATGCAACTCTCTAAAACTGGTGAGTCATTAAACAGTGTCAGCTCCTGCTGTAGCAATTTGAGCAATGGTGAAAATAATTAGTCAGTGGAGAGCAAGTGCTCCTTAGCTCTGGTGACATTGTTGAATTGCTTGTCATTCTTTATCTGGGTCATTCACTCCCTCTCTAGATGCCTGTTGTAGATAATCACTGCCAATAAACTCTGTACCTGTGATTGAGTAGATCTAATAAATGTTAGAATTGGAAATCACTCTCGTCTGTCTTTTTACACGTTTGTGAGTTTTCTCTCCTCCACCTCCTCCTCTTCCTCCTCCTCCTCCTCCTCCGCCTCTCCTCCTCTCCGCCTCCGCATGCCTTCCCCCGTTCTCCCATAGCTGCGTCTCATTTTGTCTTGTGGCTTCTCCCTCTCATCAGCTCCCACTCCTCTGTGTGCTTTTCTTATGTGCGCGCTCGTTCCAGGGTGTCGATGCTCGCTGTGTGTGTGTGTGTTTTTCTGGCGTGTTCTGTGCGGTCTTGTTGAACGTCGCTCGGTCTACCTGCTTGGTGTATTGTTTCTTGATGGGGGTCCCTGCTCTGTTGTGTGTAGCTTCAGTGTGGCATTGTGGATCTTTTGAGCCTGCCTTCTGTTTAACTTGTGTGTTTTCAAAGCTTGCCATCGTGGTTCACTGTGTATGGGATTCAAAGGTCATTATAATCTCCTTGCAGATGGATTTCATTTTCTATTTCCCAGCGTTTAATTGTCATTTCCCCCCACTGTGAGATTTTAAGGGGCATAATGAAGTGGTGCATTGATTTGTTATGGTGATGGGTTTTTCTACAGGAAATTTGACACTTCCAGAGTTGTCAGAAATGTATAAACTGATATGTCCAATTAGAGGCAACACATTTAGATTCTTGGCTTCAAAGAAAAACCCAGGAAGCCTTCGTTGAAACACTGTGAACTCTGCAGAAAGAGACGATAATCCAGCTCAACGTGTTTCCAGCTCAACAACAAAGCTGATGAGTATCTTGCACTTCAAAGCACTTTATGGAAGGGGTACGGACATGCTCGCCCTGACCTTGCTGCCTTGTATTAATAGCAGGGCTTTAATGTAAGGTGATATGTACACAAGATGATGAGGAGGAATCGAAGCCTTTCAGCTCCTCCACAGGCTCGCTCCTCTTTTCTGGTTGCTAAGTGCATCAGCCTGATTCTTCCCACCACCGGGCGCCATGGTAACCTTATCCACGAGTTGACTGAGCTACAGATAGAAACTGTCACTACAGGTTTGCATCTGTCTCTCTCTGCCTCTCTCTTTCTCCCACCAGCTAAAATAGAAACACAGCTATGATTCGATATACCCATATTTTTGACACTGTCGTCCGCCTCGGAACGGCTCATTCTGTGAGGGATCTGCAGACGTGGAGATGCTTGCGAGTCTGCACGCCTCCACTTTTTTAAAGACTATAAAGTTGTTACATTTGAGTTTGTGTTGAAAGTCAGGCTTAATACTGTGTTTTAGAGACTAACACCCACTGAGTAAGTCAGAATTCATGAGTGCAAACAAGTTAACAGTGGCTCAGTAGCAATTATCCTCTTTTAGTGTGTCAATGTGCTTGATTTCAGTCAGTGCAGACTTACCCCTCCACTTTGTGTGTTGCTGTTAAACTGACGCCCCCTGCTGTTCCAAAGGAATAGCTATAATTGCTGCTGAGATAAATCAAACTCCATTCAGTTTGATTCTAAACTTACATTGCCACAATAATAGCACAATTGCCATAAATAACCAACTGTACTGTAAAAGGAACGAAAATGTAAAAGTACAGCTGCTTGCTCGACTTTACACGAGGTTATATTGATGAAAACAATACTATTTGGGGACTTCATTGTTCCCTCATATAGTTAATGCAAAATCACCAAACTATATAAGTTAATTAATGTATTTAAGGCACACATTGATTGAGTTTACAACTTCTCTTGCACCATAAACCTATATAACCTGGCATCAGATAAAGAATTTGCATCTAAAACTCTCTCTGAGGCTCTATGGCGAGGCATATAACAGTAATTCTGGCCCTGCATGTAGTTTACCGCATTTAATTTGCAGATCAGGTGTAAATAAACCTCTAAATAGACTGCTAAAATCACAAGCAGAAGGGCTTTAGTCTGTATCCAGAGGCCCAGTCGAGAACTGCTGCTCTGTGTTACCGTGATCATTTCCTAATCATGGCAGTCTGGCAGGCAGAGATAAAGATATCCACTAGGGGGCCACATCACACAATGTAACTCCATTCATATGACACTGATTTGAACTCACTGCATGGGGTTCTTTAGTTCGGACAAGAATAAAGCTGTTCTCTTCATAAACGAGGCTGAAAACGAAGCCAGAAATTGTAAAAAATGATTAATTCAGGAAGTTGAGAATTCCCTCTCTGCAGTCAGGGTCAGAAGTCAGTTGCTCAGGTTTTAATTCAGAGGACAAGTTTGGCTTGTATAAATAAGATTAAAGGATTCCTGGGAGTAATCTACAGACAGCCAGGCTATCTCCAAAAAGTGCCCTGTAATGACTCAGCAGTACACCTGAGGGACCACATGGCTCCATTTGCCTTCAGGCCCGCTTCACTTTCTTCCTCCTCGAGTCTGTGTGTCAACCCTCAAGGCTGGCAGCCACTGACCTGGGGCCAGCCTTATCATCCATCTGGCGGTTGGAGGAGGACTCGACGCAGATCTTTGGCAGTCAGCCTCTCTCGGTGAGGCCTGTAGCTGGGTCCGTTCCAGTATGGCTGGTCCGTCTCAGCTCCCGGCTGCTGTCACAGCTGTGGACAACACTCACCACAGGAGGCTTGGCCATGTTAAACGGCTGTGTCAGGGCATCATTTTTACATGTCACAGAGGATTCAGCAGGCTTGAACTGAGAAATTATGTATGGGAAAGTTGTATGGGTAAATGATTTGGCTTGCTGATAAGGCAAGATGTACAGAACCATTGATATTTAGATTTTAAAATAAGATTGCATAAGAGTTATGACTGTGCGGCTCAATAAATTAATTTACTGGTAAAAATACTACATTTATATACATTATATATATATATATATATATAATGTATATAATGTGTATATATGTATATGTGTGTGTAT